TGCCCGACACTATCAATTTCTTGTTGCACCGCTTCTTCCAAAAGTTCGGTAATTCATCCCTGCTGAGGGGTAGTATACCTACTGGCTCCAAGATGTTGTAAGCTGAAAAGGCTACAAAGTCATCTGGTCCAGGCCAGCCTATTCCAGGCCTCTCCCCTTAGAGGAATGGGAACAGAATGTGAAAGAGCTCAGCCCAAAAACCTGTGAGAGTCCTGAGCTATCCGTACCCCCAAGCAAGCATAAAAGGAAACTCGAAGCCTAGTGCGACTTGTCTCAAGGCCACCGTTCAAACGAGCATTCCCCATGCACACCCGGAAGAAAACGCACCTGCTCTCTTTTGCGAGCATGTGTCGAAGCCGTGAGTGCGAAGGAACTGAAGAGACTGCAAGTCCACCATGAAGAGACGCTTCTCTTGAGGCCACAGGTCGAACTGATGCGTTCCTGGCTTGTTGCTGCCGGCTCGGGATGAAGAGTCTCTCTACAGCCAGGGTTCTACGGCTCCTGCCAAGTCACCCAACTCCCGCACAACTACGTGACCGCCGTAGGAATAATTAGTAGCATGAACCACAGAAATACGGTCACGATTGCACGGTGCTGTCTTCGGGCCACTCTGCAAGATTTCAATACGATGCCTAGAACGTGTGCAGTAAGCGTGCTCTTCCCAGGCCAAGCGTCGAAGCTCCCAAACCTGTCTCTCCGCTTGGAATTGCACGCAACACAGCCCAAGCTGGAGGGCCAAAAATTTTGGCACGCCTTGGGCCCGGGGCTTCTTGAAGGCAAAGTTACACCTTTTCAAGGGTCTAAAGGCAATTTTTGGGGGTAATTCATGTAGACCCATAATTAATAAACCCCCTCCTTTGAAGGGCCTAGATATTATCATCCCTATAATAATCCCTATTAAGCAGAAGGGGTTTATTAATCAGGGGTCTGGGTTACTTTGGAGGTCTAGCGTCTAGAGCCCAGGCTAAGGTTTCAGTGCAGGTCCTGCGGTTGGGAGCCACGTGAGAGGCTGTCCCAACAGTCCTTTATGCTCATATAAGCCATAAGCTACACTCCCTAAAGCTAAAGGGGGTCATAGGGGATTATATAGGGGAGCATTGTAGGGGTTCTCAAGGGGGATACTAGGGGCTTCGACTATGGCTCATATGCCTTGGGTCTCATCTTCTTTGATGGCGCAGTTTCTGCTTGTGACTCTTGTTAGTACAGTGAAAACAAGTAGTATTCGAGTTAAATGACGGCGAGAATAACAAGAAGCTAAATGAGAACAGTCCTCCCCGGGGTCCTTTTTTATCGATCCTTAGACCCTCAACGCTACACCCTGGACCGTGCTGCCTAAACCCTACACCTTAAATCCTAAAGCTTCAACCCTAAACCCCTGAACCAAACCCTAAATCCTACACCCTAAACCCTCAAGCTTCAACCCTAAAACCCCTGAACCGAAGTACCATTCTGGAGCTTCTGAACCCCAACCCACAGAGCGCGTCACTCCACACTTCAGATCCTTCCTCAAGAGCCCACTACTCCTTAGGGCTCTTAGAGCTTAGGACCTAGCAAGTGGGTAATAACCCCTATAATCCAGATAGTAACCCAAAATATCCCCATTATTAACCCATTTACTAAGTCCCCATGACCCTCCAAGTAGGGTTTACGGTTTAGGGTTCTTCCTCTCTCTCACGCACTTAGCACCCCATATACCCTCCTTGAAACTAGGCTGGAATCTGAAAAGGGACCCTGCATGGACTCCTGTCCTTCTTAAGCGGGCCCCCGAGGATTTCCATGCGAGTTTGGGAGCGTAGGCCCCCTTACACAGGACTGTGGCCTTAACAGGGCGCTTTCCGTCAGAAAGTATTTGGGTACCCCACATTCGGGGTGCAAGGCTGCCTATGAAATAGATCTCTATCTTGGTGCCCCACGATAAAGTTCAAAGCTTATCTTGTCCCACCCCCCTCAAGTTGTAGCAACCCTCCTACACCCCCAAGCATGAAAATCTCCTGTTATACTACACTGTACCGTTATCTATTTTAGTAGGGGGTTGGGTGAGGCTTCATCATCAGTAGCAAGCCATGATTAACCCAGACACTCTCCACGCACCGTGCGAAGTAGGCCTCTACTGTAGGGATGCTTCCCGAGTTTCAGGTTTGAAGTTTCGGTTTTAGGGTTGCAGGGTGCAGGATTTGGGACCATGTGTTCAAGGTTTGGGGTTTGGGTTTACAAACTTATGTGGGGTTCGGGATTTGAGGTACAGGGTTTGGGATAGATGAGCTGTCATTGTTGCAGGGAAGCCACATAAGATCATGATTCTTGTGCTATGCAAGGGATCGCCGGAAGATTTCTGCCGACCATCTGTCAGCTGCATACTGGAGCCCCTGGTGCAGCTTCTAGTTTGAACTCCCAGCGCTGCAGGGACCATGAGCACTTTAGACTGTATTCCCTCACCGTCTGAGGCTCAGGAGGTAAGAGGATGTTGCTGCTATCTGAATTTGAGGAGAAGACTGGAAAAGAGGTTCCTATGTGTACCTCCTCCTCCTCCTTAATCTTTTCCCTAAGCCCTAAACCCTGAACCCTAAACCTTAATCCCAGGGCTTTGAGTAAAAGACTTCGGGCTCAGCCTGGCCCAAGCAAAGGTGGAACCTGAAAAGTAGCCTTGCATAGACCTGAGGTGGACCCCCAAATCTGCAACAGTGACTGTAAGGCATAATGGTGGTCTTACTAACTATTCGTTTTTAATGTCCTCACCCTAAACCCTGCACTCCGCAATCCTTCAACCCCCGAACCCTAAACCCCCTAAACCCCTAAACCCTAAACCCCTAAACCCCTAAACCCTAAACCCCTAAACCCTAAACCCCCCTTAAATCCTTTAAACCCGCTGAACCCCCGTGCCCAGCTAATCCCATGCCTCGAGTGTCTGAGGTCCTCTTTGCTGATCGGCAAACAGGCCCGAGAACTCCAGATCAACAGCCACGAGATCCTTAGGGTTTAGGGTTTAGGGTTTAGGGTACAGCCACGAGATCCTTGGTTGCTGTTATCGTGGGTTCAAGTAGTACCCCCCTCTATACTACCCCCCCTAGGTTCCCACCTTCATTAAGGTTATTTAGGGATATTTAAGCCTAATTAAGGTGATCAACAGCCAGGAGATCCTTGGTTGCCTTATTCTTGGGATCCCTAAAATGGTCCCCCTTATTTTGGGAAACCCTAATAAACCTTATATAACTTTATATAACCCCTAAATCCCCTATGATCAACAGCCACGAGATCCTTGGTTGCTGTTAAGGCACCTGAATGAATTTGAGGTCGGTCTAGGGTTTAGGGTTTAGGGATAAGGTTTAGGGTTTAGGGTATAGGGTAAGGGTTTAGGATATAGGGTTTAAGGTGAAGATTCTTACAGTAGGCCCCCAATATGGGCCCTAATCTGTCTCGTGGGTCTTAACTATGCGCCCTTCCTTGGGTTTGTACAGCAGCCAAGTACCCTTGCATGATCATGGGCTTTTGAGAGCTTCGTGCTTTTGTCGCCAAGTGTAGCAATCAGGGCTCATCTCTTGACACAACTAAGCTTTTCAATGCTCATCCGTAAGTCGTAGCAAATGAAACGACAACAAGTCGTGGGGCGTAGGAAGGGAGAGTTCCGGGCCTTAACGAGGATCAGAGTGCAAGTGTTAGCAGTGAGTACCAGCCGCATTGCGGAACATAAGCCGAAGCATCAACCTTAAATCATGACACTTACTGGAGCTAGTAGGAAAATCTGGGAGTGTTATCCCTATATACTCCCTATATAATATATTTCTTTATTCCCTGCTAAACACCAAGGAGAAGACATTCCCCACTGAACCCCAGTGAGACGACCATTATTTCCTATGTTCTCTTCATGCTCATTGGTAGATGGCTTTCACAGTTTCCCGCTTTTGGCATAATCCCAAAACCTGATATGTGGCTTTGACAAAATTAGGGGTACCTTGAAAGGGGATCATGGGAGATTTAGGGGTTATATGAAGTTATATGGGGGTTATTAGGGTTCCCAAAATGAGGGGGACCATTTTAGGGATCGCAAGAATTGGGGTCCCCTTACTTTGGGAAACTACCAGATATCCTTCTATAACCCCTCTTCAGGGGACTCCTATCTTGATGACCCACAGCGGGGTCGTTGTTCCGCCTGTGTGCCTGATCACTGGGCAGTTCACCCCCATGCCAATAAACCAGTGAATAGACTTGTTAAAAGGGATTGAGGCCTAACAGTTTTGGGACAGGCGTTCAAGGTTTGGGGTTTCTGGCCTAGGGTGTAGGGAGTCACCTGAGGTGTAATCATTGGGGACTATTAGCTGTACAAACAACTATCTGGGGGTGAGGTCAGCCGAGGTGATTCTTACGAACCCTCGAAAGCATTTCACGACAAGCCTGTAACTTCTTTACAACAAGACCCCCTGCCTTGTTGCTTAGGTTCTAATGCTGCCTAATCCCGCTTAGCTACAAGTTGCCACCAGTCTCCAGCACCATAGCCATGAACACAAGTGCAGCGCTTTTGGTGTTTGCAGTAGTTGCCAAGTGTGGCAGTACCGGATCGTGGTCAGTCCCCTTGCCTAGTTCAGGCAAGCCAAATGGACACACTGGGACAGCCTTGAACCTCAAGTCTTGTTCATGCCGCAAGATTCATCTCGATTCAGGGAAGTCTAGATGGTAGTTTCCCTAAAGAAGGGGACCCTAATGTAGACCCCCAAATACTACAATCCTTATTAGGGAGACCCCCAACAAGGTACCCCTAATTTTAGGAAACTCCCAGATAGAGCAAGTTGAATGAAGACCTTTGGCTCAGGGTCGCATCCCAAGGTGAAGGAGAAAGTGGTCTGTTTTGCACCACCCTTCTACGTCTAGATGGCACAGTAGTCATCAGACTTGCATGCACCTTTGGATGTGTAAGAGCTCCACTCCTACACATTCCCCTCAGCAAATTTTGCCGCGACATCAACTCAGGTGCAAACCGCCTAGGTCCCTTCTGCTTGCCTGGCCCTTCAGGCAGAGAAGGCGTAGGCCTTGGGTGGGGAGTGTGCCTTGGCATCCAGCCCCACCTCCTCAGTGTCCTCCGTAATACGCAGGGCACCCCACCTGTGCTTGAATTGGAGGCCGGCGAGAGAAACATGCAGCTAGAAACTCTCTGAAAATACACTCCCATCTGCCTGGAGACCCCTACATATTTGCACCTACGTATCCCTACAAACGCTCAATAATGGAACAGAAACCACTGTTCACTCTCTTGCCCCTAATATTACAGCCGCCCCCCTCTATATTGGGGTACCCTAATTTTGGGAAACTACCATATCTTTTGAGATGTTGCTCTTAGGTGGCCCTAAACCCTAAACCCTAAACCGCGTTTTATAGTTGGAGAAAATGATTTCAAATCAGCCCTAGCAACCACTTGAGCACGGAGAAGGTCAAGGCGGAGATGGTGCCGGCCCACGCAATCACCTCACTTGAGTGGTGTTTTTGGGTGGTTAAACCCAGTAAGATATTATTCCGTATATAACATACTATACGTACCCCAAAAGGAGGATATAATCTTGCTCTATATTGGGTACCATAGTATCCCCAAATAAAACACTACGCACTTCTAGTTGGCCATGCTTCAAGGTTAAAGCAATGGAATGTAAGTCTTATCCTTGAGGATTGTGTCCCTTCCCCAACACCCACCAACAACCAGACAAATTCCCCTGCATACCCTAAATCACATAGTACTTGTCCTTTCCCATTCCCACATATACCTTGGATCATGAAGAGTCGCCATGAGGATCAGAATGAACTGCGCGCCAAGCGCAGTGCCGTTGATGCCGGTTTTGCAACCATTGGTGTCCGACATGCAGCCCCAGCCGCTCCAGCCATGGTAGTGATCGAAGCCCTTGCCCCAGTCGAACAAACCGGCGGCAATCACACCCCAGATTCCACCTGGGTTATGCTGTGGGACCTTTGACGAAGCAAAATAGTAGAACCTCCCAGAACGAAACCATAGTGATACCGATGCAGATTTTGATATTAATATACTAATACTACTGCTATACTAGTACTACTACAAAATACTATTACTAATGCTGTTACTGCTACTACTACTACTACTACTACCACCACCACCACCACCACCACCACCACCACCACCACTACTACTACTGCTACTACTACTACTACTACTATTACTACTACTACTACTACTGCTACTGCTACTGCTACTGCTACTGCTACTGCTACTGATGCTGCCACTACTATTACTACTTCCACTACCACACACAACTACTAACACCACCACCTCTATTTCTAACACTAACACTCAGAGAACTACCAATACGACTGCTAACATAACCCAGAAACAGAAGCCGTGGACTGGACTTGCATCCACAGGGTCATCGATCTTCGCTTTCTGGAGGAGCATGGATGAGGCCTGGTAAACCAAGGCCCCGACGAATCCGATGGCAAAGGCGCTGCCGCACTCGACCTCCACCAACTGTAGGAACCCTACAAAAAGGGATAGAGACCATGTCGGGATTTGTAGGGACGCATACTTAGGGGTAAAGAACATAAATACTAAGAGCAAAGCTAAACCCTAAACCCTAAACGCAAGTAAACCAAGCGGCGTTCCCACATGGAGCTGTGATTGAGACCAGCCCTGCCAAGATGCCGTTGCAAAGGCCACCCACGTCATACCTGTGGCATCCACTTGGAGGTTCAGGGTATTTTGGGCTTAGGGTTTAGGGTACTTATCACCCATGTACAAGCATACTATGGATCTCAGGAGGCTTATCATTGGCGTCCAGGTACAATACCATTGGGTTGAAATTACTCTGAACCTCCAAGCATTTTCTCACACAGAAGCTGAATGGGGGTGAAGAGAAAAAAAGGGATCGAATAAGCCAGCTCACCAGAGGCATCCTCTACCCCACCTTAAAGCATCCCACAGTGTGAACCCCTGAAACATTCTGGCTGAAATCCACGTTGCTTGCGCATGATGATGTAGCGCAGGAGGAAGACCGTGATCCCGCCAGTTGCTGCAGCAAGCGTGGTGTTCATAGCCTGGGAAGTCTAGGTTTGCCCTCTTAACGTAGGAGTTGAGAAGGGAGGATTAGGGTTTGGGGTTTAGGGTTTAGGGTTCAGGGTTTAGGGTTGAGATGGGAGGATAGGAAACTACATGAGGATTCGGCTGTCAACGCGGCGCAGGAAGCTAAACACTTGGAGTCGGCCTGTGGTATAAGTACTGTCATCCACCTACGGGGTGTCCTTCTCTGTAAGTGTACACATACATGTGTTTAAAGCTCTTCGACATTTTTGCTGTATTGTGCTTCCTTGAGGATGATCCCTTGGGTGTGGAAATTCTGGCAGCCAGGCAAATCCATGAACTGAGTTGAGAGATTCTAAAACTGATCTTTGTAGAGTCACGAATGAGAAGTCAATGATCCAATCCTGTACATTTCCTGGGGTCCCTAGGGGAAACTCACAGTTCGCGCAAGTGACTGGCAATAGAATCTCCAGCACGAGGAACCTATGGCAAAACCAGTATGTGATGCGACTCTTGGACCAGCATATTTGACGGTCATGGAATTAAGGTTTAGATGTGTTGGGCTGCAACCCGAACCGCCACTGGCGCAGGGCTACCCTCCCCTGCAACTATCATCATCAGGCTCCGTTCAGGCTCTATGTTGCTCTGAAGGCATCGTGGCGGTTCCAAAAAAAAGTGGCCATAATGCATACCACAATGCACCTCTAACTGTTGGAAACCGAGATATACCTCTTGGTCATAGGAATCTACGCAGGAGGCAAGCGGTCCGGCTATGCATCGCACCCCTAAACTCTAAACCTAGGTAACTAGGCATACACACACATGTCTATAACAGAACACTGGGCAATTGCAAAAGACGAGAGGAGATGGCCTGATTTTGACTCGGGGTTTACTCTACCTGGCCCTAGCCCCTAAAGCGTTTGAACAACCTTTCGGGCGATCCTGGCGCCTGAAACCCCAAAGGTACGTCAGGGAAATACGCCCGACTAGTGCCAACTGCACAGTGCAGGTAGCCCTTGACGGGTAGGTGTTCATATAACTTCTGCGATCACTGTAACTTGTATACTTGCAGATCTGCTTGCAGCTCCCATTGCTTCCTGTCACGAGTCTTCTTTCCCACACATCTCCCTTAATGGAAGCTTCTCAAAGCATTCCCCGTAGAATCCCAACATGGACAATCTCTCTACACAATCCCAGCACTTATAAACCGATTCTCCCTGGGCACCCGTAAAGTGAGAGACCCCTGTCTCTCCCGGTCTAATCCGGAGAAACCTTAAAATCACTTCCCCAACATTCCTTTTGGCCCAAACACCTCAGGGCCCTAAAGCTTGTCGCCTGAACATTCACACGATTTAGAGTTTAGGGCTCACATACCTGTCATATCACTTCGGAGGGCCCCCCAACCCGCAATAGTGGTATAATAGGACTATAAAAGGACCCTGATATAATCCTTCTTATCCCTTATAATCACTACTACTGGGGGGTCCACCTCTCATATCACCTACGCCTCAACCCCCAAACCTTAAACCTTAGACCCCAGACATCCTAAACTCCAAACCCGAACCCTAAACTCCAAACTTGAGAGCCCTAAACCTTGACCCCCTACCATACAACCCGACCTTCCAAATCCTGAACCCCAAGCCTTCAGCTTCAAAATCAGTAAAAATCCAAATCCTGAACTTCAAAGCCTTCAACCCCCAAAACCCAGAAGCCGAGAGTCCAAAACAACCCCTAGCCCCGAGCCCTTAACTCCAGAACCTTCATGTCCAAAATCCTTAAGCCTTAACTCGCGACAGAAACTCCAAAACCCGAAGTCTCAGCGGACGCCTCTTGCGACAAACGCAAGGGATACCTTCTACAAGCCTTTCTTGGGAACCTTGGCAAGCCCCTGCAGTCAGGCCCCAAGCCCTGCAAGGCCCGGAAGGCCTGCCCCATACATCTCCGATCATATTAAAATCCTAGCATGTACCTTGCAAACCCTGCCAAAACAACTTTCACATCCCCTTGCATTCTCACTAGGCAGCTCCCAAAAGCCCTAGACGCCCAACCATGAATCCTTCGACCATAAACCCTAAACCGCAAACCTATGGGAGTCCAGGGAACAACCTGGGCCGCCAAAGCGCCGGTCTCAGCATCACTCCTGGGTGGCAGGCGGATGTGGGCTTGACTGGGTTGCTTGGGTTGCTGTTAAACAACTTACTATTGCTAATACTACGGTTTCACTATTGTAGTGATGTAAGACAAAGTTCCTTAACAGCAGCCCAGTTGAGGGATGAGTGGGGGTAAGCCAACGCTGCAAGGTTCGGGAGATGGATTTTGTGTGTAGGGTTTAAGGGGTGCCCTTGCAATAATCGCCCTAGTGGGAAAATGTAAATGCTTGGGCAAAAAATGATGTAAGTGCTTCCTAGTCGGCCTCCATATACCCCAAATTCTATCCCCTATATAACATTATATAACCCATTATAGTAGTATCCATCTTCTTTTCCATTATCCCTATATAATCCCAATGTAACCATAATATTACCCGTAGTCCTCAGATCCGCGATGCATGTCTCCACAGAGACCCTTTTCGTTTCATGGGTGTTGAGACAAGGCAAAACAGCCAAAGCTAAACAAAGAGATGCTGAAGGGAACTAGACGGTTACGTTGGGGTTATAAAGAAAATGCCCCCAGAAACCCTGAGCTCCAGGTCCCATTATAACCCCCCACGTACATGCCCCTAAACCCTCAACAGTAGTTTCAATCAATGTTTGTTCTTTTCCCCTAAACCCTAAACCATAAAATAAGAGCCCTGGCTCATTCCCAGAGTTGATCCGGGGTTGAAGCCGTACCAACCAAACCAGAGGGCAAAGGTGCCAAAGACAACCTCAGGTTTCAGGGATTTGGGATTTAGGGTTTGGGGTTTAGGATTTGGGATTTAGGGATACTGCCTCCACCCTGGACCAGTCCCACGTTCTTGGTTGGGGTCCCACAAGTGTCATGGGCTTGGGGGCAGTAGGCCCAAGCCAACGGTTTGGGCCTTCGGTGGGGTTCACACTTTGGATGGCGAGACTGTACTGGGTTGCTGTTAAGG